TAAAAACAACATAAACTCAAATTGAGTCCAGTCAAGTCAAGTTGTGAGATTAATAATATTGTCACGGCCACTATAAAACATTTTAGAAAGACCGTGTGATTATTAGACAGCTTATTTTCTTTCTAACTTTATCCACAATTAAGTGACAGGGATTGAAAATATCCTGAACGGAAAGCTTTGAGAACGAACGAAGAACGGTTGAGCTGTGCTTTTGTTTTTTTTTCTTTTGTTTGTGTTGGTAGGGGCCTGTCGTTTCTCCAGATACACAGGGATACTTGTTTACTTCAGTTTACCACTTCATTAAACTGCTGGCATTTATCACTTTACATCTATTTTCGTCATTCAGTGTATAAGATGATAGTACATTTTTATTCCTAAAATTAAATATTATTGTACTCATAAAGTAAACTTCTTTATCATCATCATGACCAACTTTAACAGTCCACTGCTGGACATAGATCTCTCCCTAGAGATAAGGTTTTGGCCTACTATACCACGTACACCTTCTCTTTGCAGTGCTGTTGCCCTGCGTAGTTTGCTCCCTTAGTCGGCTCTTACGAAACTTATGGGATGAATATGGGTGGTGACCATCTGCATTCTTAATCCGCCACCACACGGACGACTTCTTCAATCTCCATAAATGTATTTAACAACTAATTTGACATTAAAACACATGGTATCATGCCTAACAGTAAGAAGTTAATAGTGCAAACGGACACACAGAAAAGCTTGACGTTGCATACTGCACTGACGAAAGTACGAAGAAACATAACCATCAATAGGCTATACTCCTGTTTCCAATATAAAATGTTATAAACGCAAAAAGTTTATTTCAAACCGTAATAGAATAGTTTTATCAATTTCGACCAAGTGAAAGCTAGTAAAGTTGCAGACCTAAAAAGTTTAGCTGTATTTAAGCACGCCCTAGTTCAAAGCGTTGCAAACTAGGCACATGGCTTTATTACGAGATAAGTTTGCAAGTGATTTCTAAACTATACACGTGTTCATGGCATATTAAAGTTTTTGGATAATAGTGAAACTTATAGTTAGTTGCATCTCATGTTTTGGTTAACAGATGTGTTAATCTATTTTGATTTAAATATTTAAAGGCTTTATAGCGATATGGTACAATAATGCACTTAATAACGTTAAATGTAACCAAGACGCAACATCCTCCTGAATAGCACTAATTGAAATTAGGGTTTTACTACTTTAAACTAAAATAATTATTTATTTTCAGCCATAATTCATAAAGTTATAATGATGGCTAAAATGATACATAATTATTATATTATCTGCACTTATTCAAGACATTACCGAAACAACTCAATTATTTTAGGTTTGATAAGTAATAAACGAAACTTTAAACTTTCCAACTTAAAAGAAAACAAACAGAAATATAAACACAATTTTAATTGTGTACCTATTGCCTTTCAGTGTCTCATTATCGCAGATGTATCTCCAAAGCAATATAACAAATATCATTCGTATCATTGATTATTCGAAATCGCTATTTGCAAATTTCCTTTAATTTCCGTCCATTAGAGCGCATGCAGAGTTCTGTAATTAGTGAACGCTCTTGATTTACCTGCTATAGAAGTAAGTTATAAACAGATACCTCGGTTTTGCATATTCTTAATCATCGTCGTGTTTCTGCCCTCTGCCGGTATTGCACAGCAGTGACCTACATACATTTGTACACCTTTACATCAATTAAAAAAAGCCGTGTGGTGTCGTGGAACACCCGATAGGAACGAAGTTGTGACGATCGAGTAAAACTGATTCGACACGATTTTAATTACAACGACATCAATGAAAGCGGCTATTACCTACATATTTTTCAGTTGGTTTCTAATTAAAACAATTTATAGGTACATTGGTAAAATCTCCTTGAGAAATGATGTCGAATACAATATTTTTTGCTCAACCTAAGAACATAAATTTTAATTTTACTGAGATGAAAAGTAATGATTTCCTATCTATTCGATAGATGGCGCTGTATGACTGACAAGTGACAATTCAAAATAAAAAGTGTCGTTACAACTTCGTGAGATTTTTTTCCGTCTAGCCCCCTTTCACATCGCGCGATAAGGAACTTACTTCCAAAAAACTGTTAATAATGATTTTAGTGTGAGTGTTAATTTTAATGTAAATGAATTATTGTTTATTTATTATTATTATCATCACATCAACAGCCTTTAATAGTCCACTGCTGGACATAGGCCTCTCCTCAGAAAGGAAGTTTAATTTTTTTTGCAAATGCTTAATAACATCTAACTCACCTACGATTTGTTTTTAGGTTTATTCTCTTTTTATTTATATGCCTTACGACTCACTAACAGTAGGTACATATTTCTATTAAAATTAAAAATTTTATAATTTAAAATATATATATATATATATATAGCGGTTATAATTTAAAAATCGTAACCATATATTTTTAGAAAATTGTATTCGTATCTTTGAAACCGTTTCAATTAAATATGAATTATATTTATATAAATGAACTGCTGGTTCAAATGTATAAAATAGATTAAGAAAAACTCAATAAATACAATATTTTAGCGTTGACTTGCGTCTCTCATTAGAAATTCAACAATCAGTATTAGTACAGTATTTGTCGATTTAACAGCTGAAATATTTACAAACACATACCAGTTTCATTGAATAACTACAGTAAAATAATAACTACCAAATAAATTTATTTCAAATATTTATCAACAACGTTATTCAGTGAATTAATTTTACAATGGCGGTTTGCACTGACTACGGGCGATCCGACCCCGCATTCCTGTTCCACTGCAGTTTCAATGATTGAAAATAGCTATTCAAAATATTTTGAAAATTGTTTCATAACAGCGCAGGCGGCGTTCTATTACACCGTAGTGCTGTACCGAAACAACTATGCCAAATATTTCGCAGACAACCGTCACATCTTTTCATACCATCATCCTTCGCGAGGGGATGATTTTTAGGGTTCCGTACCCAAAGGGTAAAACGAGACCCTATTACTAAGACTCCGCTGTCCGTCCGTCCGTCTGTCTGCCCGTCTGTCACCAGGCTGTATCTCACGAACCGTGATATTTAGACAGTTGACATTTTTACAAATGATGTATTTCCATTGCCGTATAACAACAAATACTAAAAATAGTTTTTCTTTGTTCTATTATTTATTATTAAAACAGACATGTTTTTTTTTGCCATTTTTAGAGAAAATTGTACGGAACCCTTCGTGCGCGAGTCCGACTCGCACTTGGCCGGTTTTTTTTGTTCAGTTGTTGGGGTTTGAAATTAGGTCGTTTCTGTGAAATGTTTTTTGATTGTATGACACAAGTAATAATATTAATTTCATTCTGTCTTTGAAAGGATATTATACCTATTTATGTGACACGAACACACACGTGCAACGTAAATAATTAAATTTTAAACATAGGAGTTAATGTTTGAGTGACAATACAGAAAACCGTTCTTTATTTATAGATTCGAACAGAAAGTCCCGAGTCTATATTCTCAAAAGATCTGGTCACCTTTCAAAATTGTGTGTATTAGTATAAATAATTACCATTGGATAAATTGATTCAAGCAATCATTACACATAAGTACTATAATTAATTACTTGTTAATACAAACACTGTATTTAGTTAATTAGTATAATCAAGTACTCTTAACAGGTTTCCTGACCCCATGCAATGGTGCCTTTTTCATGTAAAACGTCGTTTTTTTTTGCACTTATAGTTTTGATAGTGTATATATTTATGGTCTAGTGTATATATTCAGACTTTGATAATAATATATATGAATAAATGATACATTGACGTGTCGTTTCAAATTTGACTTCATACGTCCCGTGTATCATATGAATCATTAAACATGTAAAGAGCAAAATATTATTGACAGCGTCCGTTTTGACAGTTGACTTATCTCTTTATAATTCGTTTTTGAGTAGGTACATCAAAAACAGTCAATGAAATTTGACATATTCATACTTTGCGACAAGAGAGGTTATACTGTGGCAATGATTTTCGAAGTATAAAAGGTGCGATTGTTTTTGGGTGATGAAACATGGGTTCTCGGGCAGAATATACAGAAGAAAAGATACAGCGAGTCTTAGAGGAAAGCGAAGAGGAAAATGATTTTAGGACGGAAGTGATGAATTATATCAACCTGAGGAGAACGAGGAAACTGAAGAAAAGAAGAATGAAGAAACTGTAAGTGATATTGAAAGAGAAGTATTGAGAATAACATTACGTAGGTGTCCAGAACAATCGTCGGTAAGAGAGCTAACCATATCTTTCTATGATGAAAATAATGAGAAATTAGAAACCGAGCGTGAAGTACCTCAAAAATAAAAGTTTTTTTTCATTCATGTTCATATGTGTAGTACATATATTTTGAGAAAATAAACGTGCAAATGCTTCACTTTTGTTTTATTTGAAGTTCCTATACTAACAATTGAATTTGTATTGCTACGTCCACTCAAAAAAGCATTTGAAATCACCTACAAATTTGCTCATATGTGATAGATGGACGTACAAAAATGCATCATGTATAATATATGATTCATGGGACAGGGAACCTGTTCATACTACGCGCGCTATACCAATCATATATCTGTGATAATTTATCTACTCATCGGTAGGTTCATTATATTACTCATTGATAGATTTTACTGTTCTTCTACCATAACAAAATAACAATTTTATTCTAATATTATAATTTACTGTGTACTGTGTAATCAATGTTTATATCGGAGACCGAAAGACCATAAGTGACTGTGCAAAATACAGTGACACTCACCCTACATGGTCTAAAAACTAAATTCTTTAAACCCTCCTCAAAGCAAGACGCAGAAATCAAAGTTATTTAAGCCTATTCTACTCTAAGCTAGAAAACTTACCTACAATCAGCTAGGTTTGAACTGTCGCTACGACACACAGCGTATCTTCCATTAAAACAGTAATGATTGAATTTCTAATAACAGGTTAACTATTGGATTTCAGGACGAAATGAGCTGATAGCAAGATACATAAAGCTGAGAACGGGCAAGACGCGTACGAGAAAACAAGTCTCATCACACATACAGGTGCTAGCTAGACGGAAACTTCGAGAAATTCAGGCTAAACTGAAAGTGGTGAGTGTTTACTATATCATCAGATTATATACTTATATTACAGATGCTACCAATATAATCACTCCGTGTTAGATCAATAGTCATTCTTACCAGTAAAATAGGTTTCCGTTCATTGATCAACAATATTTTATTGCAAAAGATTAAATATTATATAAGTTTTTATGATTGAAATTGATCTCAAAAATCTAAATGATTTAAATCGTGAGATAGTTTGTTTCATCAAATATGATCCCGGTAAAATACATGTGGCAATATATTCAGTTCCATCCAACCAAGGCCGTTCTGCTTAATAACCACCGACTCTGCATCACGCAATGAAAGTTTAACACCAACTACGTGGGCTCTGGCCACAAGATATGTCAGAGTACTTCACAGCCATTTTGTATGGTTACTATGCTAGAATTTCTAGAACGGTGGCTCTTATTTTTGTTTCAAAAGACAACCTTGTTCTTTAGTCAATAGTGACGTTAACCGCTAATAATATGCAGTTAATATTATGCGTGTGGACAGTTGTACGAGTGATGTCAGTTCTAAGTTATATTTAATATTTTATGCCCTATCTAGGAGCACCTGGACACTAGCGTTAGTCCAGCGTAGGCATTCGATAAACGTATACGCAGCGCATACGCACGCCGCGACGAGATATAAACCATAACATACATTAAAAAACTGAAAATTATTTATTTTACTTGTTTATTAAATTTGGTTTCAACAGATAAGTCAACAGTTGGTAACTGATAGAAACTTGACGTATATTAGACCTTTTGTGCCGACGAGAGCAATTAAGAATTTCTAACAGCTTAGGTTGTTGAAAACATGTTTTGATGAAGCATTCAACAATCTATATAATAGATGAAATGATGTGTAGACAAGTCAATACTTGAAATAGTTGTATAAATCAAATTAAAATTATTATTACTGATTATTGACGATCATAAACTCAGACTGATCTTTTCTCTCACATTCACATCATCACATCAACAGCCTTTAATAGTCCACTGCTGGGCATAGGCCTCTTCTTAGAAAGGAGGTTTTGGCCTACTATTCCCAGCGGGCCAAACGGATTAGTATAGAATTTGTTTCAAGTTTACCTTCTCCTTTGCAGTGCTGTTGTCCTGCATAGTTTGCTCCTTTAGTCGGATCTTACGACACCCACGGGATGAATAGGGGCTGTGACACTCCGTATTCTTAATCCGTCACCACACCATTTCTTACATTAACCTGTACATATATAACTTGTACACCCATACTAATGGATAAGTATTATACATAAAGTGATATAGTTTACTATTATTAATATGGAATTTGATAACATTTAGGATGGTGGGATGATGAAAGAGAAGGCCCTGCAGTCAATGAGCACTCTATCTAGTGCACAGATAGTTGCGGGCTTACCGCACCCGGCGTACCATCATACGGTACTCAACTTGCAAAAGGCATGGCTTAGGGCTAGCGCAGACCAGAAGGAGTGCAACGGGGAGGATTTTTTAAGACACTCGAAAATAAACTTTAAAACTATTGATAAAAAGTACATACATGTTTGAATATGACAAAAAATGCTCGCGCTGTCTCTGGCCATGTGTATGCACTTTATAGCAATAGTTTTCAAGTTTATTTTCGAGTGTCTTAAAAAATCCAGCCTGTTGCGCTCCTCTCGTTCCTTGCTGGCCCTTAGTGTTAGTGTTACTAGTCAAAACAAAACTAAATCGCCAAGTTGTGTCGCTTCACTACTGTATGTCATGTTGTCGAATGCACGTTTTAAGGACACATTATATAAGAATTGTTGCTTAATTATCAAAAATTGAATAGATTTTGTTTGGGAAAATTGCATTTTTTTTTATTTGAGTTTAGTTATGTTAACAGGTCAAAAGCATTCTTCCGTGTTGAAAGGTTAAGTGCGTTTCTCGTTTCTTTTTTTCATTGTATCTAAATTTATAAAATGTTAACTATTATTAAAACGAAGTTCCCTTAAAATCAGTTATTACGAAAATGGAATCTGAGTTTACAGAGGAATACAATATTTCGTTTCGATGACTTTCAGCTAGGGTCAGAAAAAATCCTCAGGGAACAGATATTAATGACTGGGAACTTACAGAAGTAGTTTGTTCGGAGAAAAAAAAACAACTTTTGAGGTATAGTAAGGTCTTCGTATCTTCGACAACATAGTCTATTCTCCATTTTTGATCGTATTGCAACTATTTGTAAATATGATGTCCTTAACAAGTAAAGTAACAATTGAAATTTGAAACGCTTAACTCACATTCGTCCTCATATTAAAAAATAATCAATATTAATTAGATTGAGCTAAAACTAATAAAATTTCTCATTAGAAAACAACATGAATACCAATCATTGCAATTTAAGTATTGTTATTTATAAAGACTAGCCGTAATAGCCGTGAAGTCTAGCCATATACTTATTTGCTAGTTAGAAACCTGGCTGAACGTGCCTGCATGAGAACCCCCCAATTGGAAGAATAATTACAGACGTACTGTAACTAAGTGTAATAAATCATTATTATATTCCTTATGACAATGAGTAACTATATAAATAGTTTAGTAGAAATTAAATTAAAATATATCTACCATTTTAGAAATCCTTACCCTAGGAGTCCCTGAATGAAAAATGCAAAGAACAGTGAATGTATTTTATTTTTCAGTATCATAATATCGCTTTAGACACAATTCATAAGTCAACAATAAATCTATAGATATATTAAATCTCATTAGGTATTACTCTGCACATTCAATTGGTACAACCATAAATCTATAATGAAACATCTGCGCAATCTATATATAACTTTATTTGTTACGTAGTTTTATCCAATTTCCGGGGACTTGTTTTATCAGACAATGTTTTCAAATTGAGAAAGTTTTCAACTGTCATTTAAATCAGGAATAACCTTTGAAATATTCTTACTCTTTACAAGCTGTATCAATACTACTTTACATTTATAAAGAAGCATATACGATAGGAAAAACGGAATTGTAAAACGTGTCTATTTAAAGTCAACTAATAAATAGCCGATAATCAATTAGAGAGCATGCGCAAGAGCGTGTAACATAAAACTTATCTCACCAAATATTACTTTACAAAATAATGCTTCAAGTGACTGTGTGTAGTACCTTAACAACTTGAAAATAATAATTAACAAATATGCTTAGTTTTTAAGATTTGAATGATAGATAATAATTAAGGCGTATCTCTGTTTACAGCAATTTTGGCAACCTGGTCTACAAGCTGGTCCTTCACAAGAGTAAGTGTTTTGTTTACTATGTAGAAAATATACCCTTTTCTATATCACAAGTTGACTCACGCAATTAAGTCTGCGTCTCTCAAAAGGAATTAATTTTTCATAGATGCTCGGCTCCTATTGGTTATAGCGTGATGATTTAAGCTTTTACATTTTTCTCATCATCGTTATCATCAACAGACTTTAATAGACCACTGAGGACATAGGCCTCCCCGTAGAAAGGAGGTTTTGGCCTACTATGCCACGCTGGCCAGACGGGTTGGTATAGGGTTTGTGTCAAGTTTTCCTTCTTTTTGCAGTGCTGTTGTCCTGCGTAGTTTGCTCCCTTAGTCAGCTCTTACGACACCCACGGGATGAATTGCGGTGGTAATATTCCATATTCTTAATCCGTCGCCACACGATTTTGTTCATAGTATGTTAATTGTATGTGGCATCACTTTTTAGTGCAGTGAACTTTAATATACCGTAGAACATCTCTCATGGATGAGCAGTCTAATAATCATAGTGTAATGTTTTGTTTAAATTCCAATGATCGATTAGGCCTGTATACCAGACAAATTCTACGTTACTTAGCTATATAGTTGTGTAGTATGTATATAAGTCGTAATTGTCCAAATAAGAAATTCAGGATATAAAAACATTCTCGGAGACATCACAAACACTTTCCTGAAGGGTAAATTAAAGAACACTCGCCTAGAACCAGTGTTTGAATTTCAAGTCCAAAGTGTTCAATAATGAAAAAGTAAAATATTTTCTTGTAATTAACATTTAATTTTCTTACAGCGTCAAACCTTTCCCTGGAGGGGGTTACAAAGGTGTTCCTGGGGTTGGTGGTGTAGGTGTAGCGACTGGAACAGATGTCACACCTCCACCCCCCTGGGAAGGCCGCGCTATAGCCACACATAAACTCCGCCTCGTTGAATTCTCAGCCTTTGTGGAGCATCCGCGTGATCCTGACACGGTGAGCAACTGATAAACTATAATAGAGTATAACTTATACCTATAATTCAGTACAACATATAAACTGACTAGATTTTTGTTAGTGTTAACTCGACAATTGGCCTAAAAGAAAAAGTACCTATTTGAAAAAACCTTGTGAATAAGTATGCCCTTCATTTTTATCAATCTTTATTTAATCTTATCAGGGTATTATTTTTACGTTTTTATCTTATTCCAAAAATATTTTATAGTTCAACAATGTCCGCAATATATGTTGTAGTTACACACACGCCAGTATATAGTTCATACAAGTCATAATTTCTATTTGAAGCCCAAAAATTTTACTACTACCCTTTTACCTAACTTAATATCACTAGGGGTTTTTTTATTTGCTGATATTGACTGGCCTGTTGATGTGGGTTAGTGGCATTATTCCCCAGAGGTTAGTGATCATGGCTGCTAAGCCAGAAGTCGTGGATTCGATTTCCACCCAAGGCAAATAATTTATTTATAATGTGTATATGTATATATTTAGTAAGATATAGGTGTGTTTATCAGCAGTCGGTAACATTAACACAGAATTAACCCAATTTGGGATCCGAAAGCCATATTTGATACTAGTTGTCTCGTGCATTTTCGTCTGCTTCTCTCAAAAGGAATAACATTTCCCCCTTTTTTCGACAATTTTGTTGATTGATCTCATATTGGTCGTAGCGTGATGTTAGCCTGCCACGATAAACAGCCTATACAACAATAAAGGATTTTTTTTCAATACGGGCTAGTAGTTCCTGACATTAGTGTGTGCATTCCACCAAAAAATCTTTTCAGCCTAAAAAAATTAGTACAGATGTATCAAGTTATTATTATTATTCGTGTCTAAAAAGTGTATAGCAACAAATCTCCTACCTACTAAAAAATCTTCGTTCCAAAAATAAAATATTATAAGTAGTCTGCAACTGCCGTTACCTCTAACGACAACAATAGCTCAAGTTCAGACACAAATTATTCAGAAGACCGACATTATAAAACTTATTTCAATGTTATTTTAGGTGTATGCCAATGTTTACTAATAAATCGAAAGTAAAGTACCTTGAACTTTTAATGCCACGAAATACAATTTAAAAACAGATGTTTTTAAATATTGACTGACATTATACTTATCTTGATCTACGACGGTATAATTTTTTTAATCTATGTTTATATTATTTTCAGTATCCCAGTTCAGCGCCTGCGCAACATCTTTTTGTTCATATAGGCGGTACTGTAACATATGCAGATCCTTTATTAGAGGTGAGTACACAATGCAATTAAACAATTTAATTCATTTTTTGGCATGGCATGTTAAATTTTTTAGTTATTCCTAATATATAACATTTTTGCAGAGAAATAGTACAACAGTATTTGTTTAGTGAAAGTCCACTGTGTGTAGCGTCACTTGTTTAATTGCATACGTAATTATAACGATTAGTAACAGGAATATTTATAAAAGATGTGAGAACTTATTCACGTGTATTTCGCGGATGCTCAACTAGTTTCAAACTTTCATTAGGGGTCAAGTGACTTTCCGCGTCGGTCAGGCGCTGCACTCAGTGAGTTGTGTGAAAATAATTTAATTAAAAATACAACAATACCTTCGTGGATATATGTAAAATAAACAAAACAATGTGTTCACAAATAGGAGAAAAAGTTACTCTGTTTTGTCATTTTAAATTGTTTGGATATTTTTTGTTGATCTAATAACCATGAACCGATAGTATTTAAAACTAATACTTGTTTTTTTTTGACAGTCAGTAGATGTACAACAGATAAATGATAAGTTCCCGGAGAAGAAAGGCGGTCTCAAAGAGTTGTATGAGAAGGGTCCAAGAAATGCCTTCTTCCTTGTCAAGTTCTGGGCGGACCTTAACACAAATAACCTGGACGATCCAGGGGCCTTCTATGGAGTTACTAGTGTGTAAGTATTCATACAAACATTATGCGAAACTTATTGTGGGTTCGATCCCCGTATGGGAAACCACTTTGTGTGATTTACAGATTGTTGTTCCGAGTCTGGGTGTTCTTTGTGTCCGTTTCGTGTCTGACTGTAAAGTCCCCGTGACACCGGATATATTCTGCGGGAGTTGTCTTTTTTAAAGAACATAAGCAGAGACCTTATTAAACGGCCATATTTTGTCAACAATATTGGATCCCGTTCACATCATAGAGGATCATAATAAATTATGCTTATTAATGTATGTTAAATACACAATCATGTGTAGAAGATGTTAAATTATGAAAAAATAGCTCATTCGAACTATCAATATGAATAAAGAAATGCCTTTTTTGGTAAGTTTGAATGTGGTGAGATGTAAGCTTTACCAGGGCCTCAATTCTGATATTTTATGTTCACGCCAAGCCAGTGTCATACCACTGACACGCTATTGAGATGCCATCGAGTTGCCATTGGCATCGGTATAAATATCGGTAGTTGAAAATATATATATATATTTTATTCTTTAATAATTTATTTTAATTTATTTATTTCTTTTTTTTAATTTTATGTTTTTAATAAGTTATTTTAATTTATTTATTTCTTTTAATAATTTATTATAATAAAAACAAATAAATAATTTCCTCAAAAAACGTAATAATATATTTTCAAGCCACTGTCATACCACTGACACGCTATTGAGATGCCATCGAGTGGCCATTGGCATCATTTCAAATTATAAGGAAATTATTTATTTATTTTTCCAAATATGGCAATCTTTTTGATATCACCACTGATGAGCCACTGCCATTCCATCGCCACTGTAAAGACACTGAGTTAGTGTAGACTACCGATATTTATACCGATGCCAATGGCCACTCGATGGCATCTCAGTAGCGTGTCAGTGGTATGACAATGGCTTGGCGTGAACATAAAATAGCAGAATTGAGGCCCAGAATTGTGTGAGATGAGCGATTAGGATTTAGCAGCCTGCATGGGTAGCAGGACGGCATCTACAAATCACTCACATCCTATCATCTGTAGAAGACATATCTTCACCGTGCTGTACTATTCTACCTGAAACTTATATAAATCTAGAATGATTAAAACATCGTGCTCTACTATCTTTATATCGTAAATTATTCCCGTTAATCCCACTAACGGTTTCTCCTGAGAACATCGCCATTCTTTGATCTACACTCTCTAAATTCCTAGAAACCAGTACAATAGGAAGACTTCATTATGAAGTTCCGAACATACCTCAAAAAATAAAATAACAATAAAACGAAGGCCGGTAATGCCATTTAATATTTTTTTTCACTATTGTTGTACATCCTATAGTTATGAATCACTTGCGACAGTGAATTTAAACAGCTAGTAGTCGAGTGGCGCCAATTTTTTTCGAAGAAATCTGTGATTCATCTTCAAGAACTTTTATTTTGGGTTCATTATCGTGACATTCACTCAGTGACAGATCTCTAGAAACTTATTACATTCGTAATTTTATTATTACATTATTGTTTCTTACAACGGAAATAATCGTTTAATATAATTTGTATCTAAACGTAAAGAATCTTACGGATACGACAATGATTAGAACATTATCCTAACTATATAATATTATAAAAGCTACTTTGAGTTTGCTACTGATTTAGGATGCCAATGATTAATTAGACTTCTATCTCTATTTTTTCTCTTTTTATAAAGATATATATTCTGGACAAGGATACATATTCTGGACAAGGATTATATTCCGCACAAGGATATATATTCTGTGTCGTGGGGACTTTACAAACATTCATTCTAGACTCAGAACAATAATTTGTGGATCACACAAAGTGTCTCATGTAGGGATCGAACCCAAAACACTCAGTTTTGCGTTCGGTGTATAAACACTTACATAATATTTCAGGTATGAAAGCAATGAAAATATGACTATAACATGTAGCACAAAAGTGTGTTCTTTCGGGAAGCAAGTGGTGGAGAAGGTGGAGACGGAGTACGCGCGGTTCGAAGGCGGTCGCTTCGTGTACCGCATACACCGCTCGCCGATGTGCGAGTACATGGTCAACTTCATACACAAGCTCAAGCATCTACCCGAGAAGTACATGATGAACAGCGTCCTAGAAAACTTCACTATATTACAGGTCAGTTGTTGTTTCATTTAATATTTTTTTAAATACCACCGACTTGGGGACCAAACAAGAAGTATATCTTACCTGTCAAATAAAAAAATCTGCCGAATTGAGAAATAAATGTTTAGTGTTCAGAAACAGAAAATAAATTCTAATGATACATTTTGTGTCTTTAAAAGAGACTTACAAAGTACTCGTACTTGTTGAACAGAGTATAATTATCAAAGCCAAAAAAAATATTACATGGTAGATAGGCTTCTGACCATAATTTAGTGTTGCCACATTACTTTTACAGCGATTAGACACATCATTGTAGGTTCGGTTGCTAGTACTTTAAAAAAAATTTGCAAATTTACAATATTTGTTTTTTTTCTTGCCTCTGGTCAATGTTTATGATTCAAAGTCTCCCTAGACCTCATTGTACCCTCCGATAGCTCCCTAGCTATATAGCTAGCTAGGGGTAAAATACAAATTGGTGTTATCGAGAAGTTAGAGTTCCTTTACCAGGTGTATGGCTAAGGTGTGGTCGGTTGTCGCAGGTGGTGTCGAACCGCGACACGCAAGAGACGCTGCTGTGCGCGGCGTTCGTGTTCGAGGTGTCGAACAGCGAGCACGGCGCGCAGCACCACATCTACCGGCTCGTCAAAGACTGAAGCCACCGCCGCCTCCTCCACACTTTCTCTTAGATTGGAAAATATAAATATTCGTTATGAACCTATAGCAAAATGTGATCTGAAAATTACGCTACAAGTATTTTTGTAACTGAGTGTTTATTATACATAGCTCAATTTTAAATATTGTCGATCCGTGCGACGGTGGCCGATCGCCGGTGTCGACGAACTCTGTAGATATTCTACTTCCCCTTTTGTTTCGTAACGCTCTCGATTTTGAAATGATTTTTCTATGATCTAGGAAACGGAGAGTAACAATAATATTTTAAATAATTCTTAAAATATAAAATATCGATCGGTATACTTATTCGCGTGTAAAAATATCATATAAAAATATAGATGAATACACACAGTGCCTCTATAATTATGTTACATTAACATAAATTACTTGAGCGTTTTTAGTCTTTTCACTGCATTGAATATTATTGGAGAGATTTTAGTACATAATGCTAATGTGAAAAGATTAAAACTTAGTGTAGTATACCATGAAAATAATAGATTTAATAAGTATAATATATAGAATACGCCACTACACTACAATATAATATATAGAATATGTCAGATAAGTGCTCGTGGTACAATTTTACTGTTGCTTTGTTTAGTTTCCTTTAAAAACCAGTCCGAGTTTATCTGTCCCTAGCTTAAATCTTGACAAATTTATTCTTTGGCATCTATTGTTTTCCTTCGAGTATTTTCTATGCTTTAAATAATTATTTCATTTTGCCTTGTTATTTTTAGCTCTTTTTGAGACATAGCATTTTATATAGTTTCTATACGTTTTGCCAGATTTGACTCACTATTGCAGTCTTTGCCACACTAAATACTAGGTACTTAGGGTATGGTATTGTACCTACATTGTACATATTCTATTGTCATGTACGTAAAGTTAATAGTGTCCATGTGTTCACACGGTCTGCTAGATATAAGGGCGTGTAATAATAATATTGTATCATATGAGAATTATGTCAAGTCTAGTACGATCGTGTACATACGTTATGTACATATCTAAGAACCTCGAACAGATTTCTTAATATTTGGGAGCTCGGCGCGTCCCTCGGCAGCTGTATCTGATAAGCGTTCGTCGTTTAGTTTTCCGTTTCTACATTTCAGTGACTTGTATTTCCATGGAACTAATGTAAAGCAATAAAAATAGCTTCCGCTTCGATTTCAAAGTACAAAGAGTGTCCACACTACTCAAAACCTACAAGAATACGTGTTTACGTGGCAATGATTTGATCTCTCTTTTAGTCAAATATTTTTAGGATCCTCCCGTCGCGTGCTGACGCGCGCTCATTTAATTTTACACAGAGTTAAGTTTATGTGCATTAAATAGTGTTTAGTTTCAAGACATGAGGTAGGAAAATATTATCTTAGATAATAAAAATAAGAGATTTTTGTATTTATTTGATAGAGTTATATTAGATAAATTGTAAAGTGACTAGCTTTAAGATTCTTTTTTTTATATGGCGATAGTCGTTCAGGCACTTATCCGTGAAGTTGTCACATACTTAGTACTTAAGAAAACAACTTAATTTTTTGTTGCGGCCGTGAAATGTTCTGTCCAAAAAGCGGTATAAAGTTTATTCGAAATTTCTTCCTTTTACAAATCGTGTCCGAATGATGGCTTCTGGCGCCAGATATGTTTGCAATACGACACGGCCATGGTGTGTCTAATTAAAAATGAGATCTGCCCTGTTGTGATTTTATATTTTTAATGTTATATTATGTACTCAATGAAATGAGATTAACTCAAATTTATTCGATTCTTGCAACTTGCAACAGATCGAATGTAGTTTAAACTTTAATAAATATGGAATTGTTCGATGCCGATGGCAATATTCAATAATAGACGATAGAGCTCGTGTTGTGTAAATAATATATAATTTTAGCGCATTTCTTTCAGTTAGTATTTGTAAGCGGTTTTTGCTTCTATACAAGTCTTTCATATCGACAATCAGCCATATCAATATGAAAATATAAAAAGATTTAGTCGGCGGAGTTGGAGATAATCATTTGCTTTCGGCTGCATATTCCATTATATTTGTTTACATTTCTTCATTATGTAATACATTTCTTTGTTGGTTTCTTTTTAATCGACTCAGCAAATGATTTCTTACAACAATACTTGCCGACAGTGTACAGTATTTTAAAGATAATACTACGTTAAAGATTTGTATGAAAATTTAATTATATTGTCTTCATAAAATTATGTGTATTATTATTTAATAACGACATTTATAACCAACCTTAATTGTATCGAATATCAGAACCAAATATTTGAATCAATCCCCAGAAAGAAAATATAATATCTACATGTGATAATATCTACAAAACCAAATATTTGAGATTTAATAACAATAAAAAATTGCCAATCAGAAGCAGCTACAGAACAGAACTAACGACGAATTAGTCAACTCATACATGTACAGTTGATAATAGAATGTCAAAGCAGTACTCATGACAAATGAGACTTATTAAATTATTAGAATCATACACAAATAGACCCAATAAATGTAATACCTTTCTATTACGTAATCGGGTTAATTTCTATAATACATGTTTATGTATCATTGAACGCGAGGTTCGAGATAATGTAGTTATTTAATATTTAGGATTCCAACATGACTAAAGACTTAATATTACGTAACAGAAAATCGGAGGAGTTTTTGGTTCACTATCCATTCGCATACTGATTAGGAGTCGCCATATTAGCAAAGTAGAAAACTGAAAGATCATACCTGGAGAGAGTCTCACTACGCAACATCGTGCTCTATCATGGATCTCTGTGTGAAGTTTAAGAAAATCGTCTCGAGCGGTGCCAGCTCCGAATCAGATGGTAGCTCTTGATGAAGTCAGGTCCCGGGAGTTTGCCTCAGTCATCGGAGACAAGTGCGCCTGATTCAGGTGGCTATTCGTGAAGCGGCGAAGGCGGTGCTTGGCGTATCTAAGGGTGGACGCAAGTGTTACAAGGAAACTCGGTGGTGTAACGAAATAGTCCAAACGGAGACTAGGGTGAAGAAAGCTCTCTTTACTAAGTGGCAAGCGTTTGAATCGCCCGAAGACCGCGACGCGTACATAGCTGCAAAGTCAGCCACAAAGGGAGAAGTAGTCAGAGCGATAAGTGACCACTTATAACCTCTCTATGAGAATTTGGAGTCCACTGACGGGCAGAAGTTAATCGATAAGTTGGCTCTCTCCAGGATTAAAGCGGCATAGGGTGTTTCCAAGTACCGCTATGTGAAAGATCTTGGGGGCGACCTGTTATGCGAAGAGCTCGCGGTTAAGGATCCACCGGACCTTCCTCCAAACCAAGAACTAGTGCCCCCTTGCCTGCAGTGGTCTAGACTGCTCTTTGCCGCTCGATGAATCGGAATGCTGTAGGAGCCGAGGGAGTCCCCATCGAGGCATGGAAGGCGATGGGTCCTCGCGGTGTGGGCACCTTATCTAATCTTTTTAACCGCGTACTCTTCTCCAAGCAGATCCCAAGCCAATGGAGCCTGAGTATTATTACTCCAGTCTTCAAAGGCAAAGGGTCGGTGCAGGAGCAATTACCACGGTATAAAGGTCATGTCCCACACCATGAAAATCCTTGAAAGGATAATTAACACCCGAATCCGGCATGAGTGCACTATCTCGGAGTATATGGGTTTCGCCTGGTTCACGGTACCAAGGACCCAGTTTTAGCCCTTAGAATTGTCCCGAAGAAATACAGGACAAAGAACATACGCTTATTCCCGAACATGCAGAAGGCCTTTCACTGTGTTCCTCGTGTTATGATTTTAAGACCTTAAAATTTAGACATGCTCATTTTTTTAATCAAAAGTTTATATGTAGCTCATTTTTATAAATGTTACAGTAAAACTCCTGTTTGAAAATTCCACAATAAAAAATTGAAATTAATTAATTTAGTTACTTATTTCAAAAGGGGGAAAATCGATTTTATTTTATTAGTTATTATAGCATTAAACTCGAAACTTTACACCAGGGATTCAATTTCGATTCGATTCGATATCGACCCTTTGGGGTCGAAATCAGTTTCGCAGGGGCGACATAAACGAAAACTGATTTTGGGGGTCGATGATGTCTAAAAATCGACCCCTATTAATTACAACTAGTTCTTATTTGAAACTTTCAAGATACTGTATACGTTGTGTTACGTGTACCAACTTGTTATAAGACTGACTAATACCTCTATTTATTTTGTTAAATTTTGATGAAAAAATGATGTCAAGTATACTAACTTAACCAACGGCAAAGTTTTTAAATTATAAATATTAATACACAATATTTTGTATTAATAGAAAAAAACCAGGGGGTCTGAGGTTCCGCAAGGAGCCAACGCCTGAGTGCCACCACTGCGATGGCCAGACCGTGGACACGGCTCTCCACACGCTGGCAGAGTGCCCGGCGTGGGTTGAGCAAAGGCGAGACCTCGTGGCGGCCATCGGAGTGGGAGTTCTCTCGTTCGATAGCCTGATTGCGGCTATCGTGCGGAGCGAGAGTGCGTGGAACTCTGCCGTCTCCTTCTGCGAGCAAGTTATGCTCGCGAAGGAGACGGTGGAGCGGGACCTGGAGAGGTTTAGAATTCTCCCGGCCCGCCAGGCCCGGGAACGGGCCAGGTACCGCAGGCGACTCAAGCGCCGGAGGTCGCAGAACGACCTCCGTCCTCCATAACTATGACAGGTGAGGCCATCTGTCACCCTAGCAGAAGCAGGCCGGAGTGGCGGCGAGCGCGTTGCGAAGCGCGCTCGCTTCCAGAGAGCAGAGGGAACATGGGGTTCCCACACGGCGGGGGTCGTCTACTCGTCTGTCGATGGCCCGAGGTATGTCGGGGCACCAGGGACTTCCTTTCTAGGGTATACCTGGTTCCCCGGCTATTAGTACCCGAGATGGCGTGCGGTTTTAGTCGGTTCGAGTCCGACATGCCACCGATAGGTGGTATCCGAGAGGATTCCGCACGGAAAAAAAGGGGGTCTGAGGTA